CATTTATTATTTTTGTTTTACTCGCTTATATAGGATGATTTATTTATTTATTTATTTATTTTGTTCATTTAAATTATTATTATTATTATTTTCCTATTTATTTTATTTTCTTGTAGTTTTCTTTATTAATTTAGAATTTTTATTTCAATTTTTTTCTTTAATATGTATTACTAGAAAATTATATATATATATATATATATATATATTTGACGAAGTCTCCTACCCGATAGGGACCGACGTCACAAAAAAAAAATGCAAAAAAATTTGGCCAAGCCTCCTATTTGATAGGGGCGACGTCACAAAAAAAAAAATCACCTTTTAATCAAGACATCCTCCGACACACCGGTTGTGTCAAGGCTTCTAGTGGATCCGATGTTTGAATCGACGTGTCACCCAATGAAGGGGACCGACGATTGGTTCAATACGATGCCACGCTCAACACTAAAAATACATTTTGTTAAGATAATACTTTTCGTTTAAGATTTAGAAAATAAATTGGCATAGATAAACAATATAGGAGATAAATTTAGGAGTAAAACAAGATGTGGTACCTTTCTTCGGAAATGACACTTTTAGGGTGAATAGTCATCTTCCTAAAAGTATAACCAACTCGCTTACCATAGAATCTCTAGACCGGTGTTATTTTAGGTTCCTAGTTCCTTAATACTAGGTGGCGACTCCAAAGCTCCGTAAATAAACTTGTAAATATCAATCACATTTAGCATTTTTTATTTTAGGAGTCCCGTCCGACGTCGGGTAACGACACTTGTAATTGGCAACTCATAATGCAAGCAAACAAAATTCTTATCATTCTTTTTACAACTCGATTGTTTCATTCGTTAGGTATTAGATCATTTAAAAGATCTCAATTTTTCCTCTTAATATGTGAGATAGAATTATATTTGAAAAAAATATATAGCTTATATATATATATATATATATATATATATATACATATTATTGGATATTCGACTTTGATATAGTTTTGAGAGAAGCATAGAACACACAATCTTTCGTAGGCCAAACATGGAAGAATTCAATAAAATAAAATAAAAACACATAGAAATGGCATTTGGATTAAGAATGCAATTTTTTTTTAATTCTAAAATAACTTTTCAAAAAAATACAAAAATGATTCTCAAGGTTCCTAGGCATTAATTAATAAAGAATTTCTAACCAAGTATTGTTTCTGTATTTTTTTTTCTTCTCTCATAATCCAAAAGACGTTTGAAATTTTTCTCTTTTTTATAGTACGTGGGATGATTCTCATTGACATGCAATCATGTGTACTGATGAAAATTGTCTCTAGAGATGCTATAATAAAGAGAGAGAAAACTTTTCAACCGTCAATCTTACCGCAAATAATTTTTTGTATCAATTTTACCATCAATTTTTCAGAAATTTTCAATTAAGGACTTCTTAGAATTTATGTCCATATTTTCATCCAAAATTTTTTTTCTTTTTAAAGAAAAGACATCATTTTATAGAGAAATTAACGTTTTTTTAAATGATTCTAACAGAAGTTTTTATTCGAGAAATCAAAATAGTTTAGTGGTAAAATTATACAAAAATAATTTGGGTGTAAAATACTTCAATAATTTAGTGGTATATTTGATGTTTGCCTAAAATATATATAAAAATAAATACATTGCGCATACATTGACATAACTAGATAATATATTAATAGATTTCTACTCTAATGTTAGTATATAAGTTCAAAAGTCTTAGAAGAATTTGAGTTTAAAGAATGCTCCGATACAATAGAAGTTTAGAGTGTAGTGGTAGCTAATTCAATCTCTTTTGTTGTAATATCACTATCTTATCCCACTAATTACTGCCAATATTAACCTAATATTAATATTAACCTCTAGATAGCGTAACTGCTAATAGTGGAAAAAATATAGCAAAATCTTATCATAAAAACTGGCAATTAAAAACTATAAAAAAATATATAGCGTAATTGTTATTTCATATGTTTGGTCCAATTTCAAATTCTTTTACACATAGGCCCAGACTACAAATGCTACAGCCCAAGGATTCAAAACCCATCGAGCCAGCAAAAGACATGGAGATTTAAATTTTTTTTACAAAAAAACTGTTCAGAAATAAGTATTACTGTAATTGTTCCAAGAAAATAAAAAAGAACATGGAAAATAAAATATGTGTTCAAATGTCCGTGCTTATTCCATTCTTTCAAGATAAAGCATTGAGTTGGAGAACATGTTGGATAGGTTCTCCAAAATTTTCCTTCTTGCAAAGTTTATTTGGGAAACGTCTTCTCCAACTCTGACTTTTTTAGACAGATATGCCCTGGTCACTTTTAAGCAATTTCACTAGCTACGTGCTCTTTCACTGGACCGATATAAATAGTTTTTATATTAATCTTTTAAGTTGTTATAATGATAATAGATAAAAATGATAATTTAAGTGTTTTAATTCTATGCGACTCTCCTACCCTTATCTTGCTTATCAATTTATTATTTTAATAAAAATTCTACTTTCATTATACACTAAACTTAAAATACCGAAATTGCACTTCCAGGTTGAAGACATGGTAACCTAAAAAGGGCAAAATAAATAAATAAATTATAAAAAAATTCCTACTTTTAGTTTCTGTTTTTGAACAGCCTTGAAGTGTGTGAATTTTTTTCTTCAGTTTTTTATAGCTGGATGTTTTAGCTTTATTTTTTGTTAATTGAGTTGTTTATCTATCAATAACCGTGCAATCAAGTGCATTAATGAACATTTATTAAAAATTCGTTGATACGTTTATTAAATCAAAATATGTACACCAAATTCTTAAAAAAAAAAAAAGAATGATTTAATATTTTCTTTTGCTTTTTTCATCGATTTATATTTATTTTTTTCATTTGTTAATTTTTATGAAAGTCTATACATTAATTATAACTTTATTTTCTGAAATACAATATTATCAAAATTATATTTTTAAATTTTTTAACTCTTGATTAATATTTTAGTTAAAGTTATTATATTTTTTATTTTAAAATCAATTTATAAAATAGAATGATTTATATTTTTTAAACAAAAAATTTATTAAATTAATTAAATTAATTAATTAAATAAAAAAATATAATAAAAAATTTTTATATTTTTAAAATAATTTTTTTAATCGAATCTACAACGTAGTGTAGATAAGCGGCTAGTGGGATTCTACTGTAACAAAACTCATGCTACATACTTTTTAAAATGGTATCGAGTCTTTTTAGTTTGAAATAACGTTTGACCAAAAATTTTAAGTTAAATTTTGAAAATTATATCACTTTGGGCCTTAATGTTTTTATGTTTGCACAAAGTAATCCTGCGACTTCTTTTAGAATAAAGCCAGGTCAATGAATATCAAGAGAGGAGAGAGAAGGTGTAAGAGAGAGAGGAGGTTTAGTTTTTTTTTTTTTTTTTTTTTTGTTACTATAGTGGATTAGAATGTGTTCTGTGGTTCAAAATGAGCTTTTATACGATTTTAACGGTACTTTTAGGTAAAAATAATATAACAATTGGGTGCGAGAGGCCAAAAGCAAAGGCCATCGATTTTTCAACAACGAATGATGGTTGAAAATTACAAGCAGTAGCATCATTTTTTCATTTCAAATTGTCTTTTTTATGATGTTTTTTTTTCTTTCACTCACTTATTTTTTCTCTTCTCAACCATCATGGTGACGTATCTTAGTTTCTTCAATTAGTTTTTCTCTTTTCAACCATTATGGTGACTTTTCTTTTTTTCAACCATCATGGTACTCTCTATTTCAATTTTTTTCAATTAGTTGATGGTTGAGGAGAGAGAAAGAGTGGATGAAAAAAATATAAATAAAACATCAAATAAAAGATAATTTAAGGGAAAAAAAGTACTATAAGACACATCATCGCTAATGTAACAGAAAAAATAATGAAATGACTAAATTATTAACAAAATTAAAACATAAAAAAACTAAATGATTTGTTTTTGAAACAAAAGGGACTAATTAATTTGCTTCTCAAAATGAGAGGGATTAATTTATAATTTATTCTAAAAAATTGATCAACTAATTTGCCAAATTCATTTGGCTACCGGTAATTAATTTTGATTTTTTTTTACTGTTATCAACTATTTTCTTTTATAATTTTTTTCCCTTAATAGCTGCAAGTAAGATTCACTTTTTACTACAAATTAGTTAAAAACTACTGAGTGTCAATAGATTTCGACCACGTTAGTGTTTTTTAATCCTAGATGACTGAAAAAATTCAAATAGAAAATAAAAATCAAATAGTAAGCAGTAAAACATAAAAAAAAATCAAATATTAAACACTCAAATTGCAATTTTCTATAAAAATTTTGATTTTTTTATATAATCCAAATAAGACCCACTTTCACCACACGTCAATTATAAACTACTACATGACAATTCTAGGTGATTGAAGGCATTTAAACATAATAATAATAATAATAATAAATTAAACAGTCAAATAGAGAAATTGACCGATTGAACATTCAAATAAAAAAAAAACAAGTTCAAACTGCAATTTTAACCACCATGGGTATGAAATTCGCAATATTGTCCTTGATACACTTTGCCGGCAAGGAAAGAGAAGGACAAGAAAGGAGAGAGAAAAAATAGAAAATACTCCATTTTTGCCCGAAGTCGTGCTCTTTGGGCTCCCTATTTCCTCGTTGCCTTTTGTGCCGCAACAGGCAATTTTAGGAAATAAACGACCACAAACAAATATGTAAATCTTGAATAAAAACAAAACTGCCACCTATGGAATCATTGGGAAATTACAAGTTATCAGTTTCTTCAGCCTTCACTAACTAAAGTTTAAAGGCCAAGACTCAATAAGATAACCAAAAGAGTGAAGTTTCTAAATTACAATCATAACGTTCAGATGTAAAAGAAAAAAGAAGCGAACAAAAAAGGTATTCCTAGGGAAGCACAGTAAGGAGAGGATCTCACTCCTCATTTGATATTTCCTCCAATTTTCCTTGGCGTGAAAGCCCTCAGGACCCTGAGTTAGGTATAAACACTGTGACCTCTTCCTGAGTCTAGAGTAGACTGATCTGTGGATCCACTGCGATTATGCATACGCCTTTGTTTAGTATTTGATTGCTCCCCAGCTTCAGACAATGAACTCTTATGTCTGCTACTATGTGTAGAGGCAGCATGTCCCCTTGACAGCTGTGAGTTTCGCAGCTTAGAACTTGGGGTTGTAGTTCCAGAATGGAGGGAAGAATTCATCAATGAAGATCCAGCAGACATCTGATACGAGCGTTTTGACTTCTTTTCTGCTTCTTGTTTCTCAAGTTCTTTAGGGTCAGGATAATGCACAAGGGAAACTCGTCTTGAAATTTTCCCAACTATCAATACAGAGAACCATGTCAGGTGATGCTTAAAACCTCCTTTGCCACAAAAGAACTTGATTCATAGAATTAAGTCAATAGTACGCAAAACTATCACAAGTTCACAGCAACAACAATAATAAGGGATGTTTATTTTTAGACTATTTTGATAATAAGGGAAGAATTAATCAACTGCTTAATTGCTCCATATTGATTAAGGACATTCTTCGAGATACAATTGATAGCCACATAAATTGAGACAATCGCACATCAGACATACCGTGATACATTTGCATGCAACTGAGTAGATGAGAAATGGTTCCAAGCTCATTAAACTACCAGTTTTTTTTTCTTTTAGAAAGACATTAAAAGGCATCAAATATACTATAGCACCTATTAAAGGGAGAGAAAAAAATAGCACAGCACATACATTTTCTTAATGATATGCAAAGAAGTGCAACACCTTAATCCCATTAAATCTAGTGAGGAGGACCATCGTGATTCTTCCCCTTGAATGTCTAATTTTCTGTATTATACCACAAGATACCAATGAATGCAACAACAAAACTCTCTTCTTCTTCACCCCTCCGACATTCAGGGTGCATGGTATCTGATTTGATCCACACAAAACCAAACAACTCCACAAGCTAATTTCCATAGCATTCTTCCTGAGAAACTACATGGTAATAGATTCAGCTTTTTTTTACGAAGTATCTATTTACCAACACCTTCCCCTCTCAAAGATTTTTAATATTCAACCTACAAAGGCTCCCAAATGAAAAGGGACACTCCAAATGGCATTTTGGTGTTTTAAGTTCCTCTCCAAGGGAACTTGCTAACTTGCTATTCACCTCAATGCTTTGACTGGAAAGATCATTCCACAAAAACTCCATAGAAAAATTACATCATAATCACCATTCTTAGATAATCCTGACATCAATCTCCATATGCTTAGATAAGGAGTGATCATCCTCGAATTCCATAAAAATTTAAATAGTAGGTTGACTAAAGGGTTTGTCTAACTACATGCTCAATCGTTACCTAATTCATATTTCACCATGAAACAAAACCCTGCACATAAGTAGAATAATATCATCTTTTCCATAGCTTAAGGTGCTGACCTCATTTGATGCAAATAGCTCTCAACAATTCAACACAATTATGGAAAAATCTACAGAGGCAGTTTATCTGACATACAGATACATCTACAACATCCTTCACTATTTCAATTCTTAATTACCTAAAACCTCTGGTGCCAGCACCCAGCTCTATACCTCTTCCTATAGCCATTTTTTCGATTTTAGTAGGCACATGCACACAGCCTATGTTTGTACTCTCATTCAATAGTCAGTGACAGACTGATTTCCGTGAGCATGTCAAAATTTCAGGTGGTCACATACATGCCCTAGACATTGGTTTGGACCACCAATAAAGAAAATCATGGAAAAGGAAAAAGAAACGAAAGCAATATTGCATGGAGAGTAAAGTAATTTCATGACATAAAATTCATTTATAATCCAGGGAGCAAAAAGAAAGTAGAAAAGGCAACTTTACCAATCTTTGTTTCCGATTCAGAGGACAGGAAAACTGTAGCATCTTGCTCTTGAGCAGAGCAGCTGACCAGATCATATACTTTCCCTGCCACAAACGAGCAATAATAACCCTTATTTTCTCCAAATTATGAGCACAGAAAGAGTAGTACACGTACAATAAAGAATCTATTTTCAATGATGAAAATTCCAACACTAGTTATTAATTAATACCCGATGAAGCCTCGAAACTTCCCAAACATCCATCCTGATCAAGACTGAGAGATAATTCTTTCCCATTAACATCAGGAAGCTGAAATAAACATACAATTAAAAATGTTAGCAATTAAATCTTACTCTCCATGAATTGCTAAACAATAATAGCAATGTTTACAATGATCTTAAAATAGCTGACACCTTATCGAATAATGTAGACAAATTTGTTTTTTCATATCAACAATAAACACAAATTTCACAATAAACTAATAATTTACTTACTGAAGATATGATTTATCTATTTATTGGGACCACAAAACAGAAAAAGAAGATGAAAGAAAAGCTAGGTTACTTCATTGGGAGGCCATTGAATGAGCCAAAGCTCAGTTGAACCTGACAAACTAATATCAGCTAATGGTTCCCTTGAATCTTCTTCAAATCCTGGGTCAGGCTTGTAACCCTCCACCTCCTCAACACCATCCATCGCCTAATACCTCTGCGGAAACAAATAAAAATAGAACATTACTCTTCATTCAAACATTCAATCGAACACCTTCCAAGCAATACTCACTTTCTTTACCAACTTTGCCAAAACACAATCTCTTTCCGTTTCTTTTCAAATTGTTACAGTTATCAATTTTGATAATTAAACAAAACCAAAGGAGCTTGCTGCTTGTGCAAAGGGCAACTTTAGAAATTGAATTAGAATTTGAATGAAAGATCACAAAAAAAAAATTAAAAAATTAAAAATTACCCGGGTGCTGATAAGAATAACGGATAACAAGGACGTTTTTGTTTGCTTCAGCGGTGGTGCTTGTTGCTTGCAGGTCTCCGCGGTTTTAAGCTAAACCTAAAACCTTCACCCTGTTTTGTCTGAATGCAGAAATATTTTCCAGATGAAAAGAAAGGAAGCAGGTGCTTCAAGACGCCGAAGCCTAGGGATAATTACAGACATAAAAGGCCTAAAAAATACTAGGCCCGGCTAAGGGCATTATGGGCTCAAAATATTGGAAGAAACCCAGCCCAATTGTAGACACGTTCCCTTTTTGTTTCAGATGCAATGCATCCATTCAGAAGTATTATTATAACATATACTACAAGGAAATAAGGTTTCACTGTAGCTAAGCCTGCTACAGTGAACCAAAACGATTTCGTTTTGTGTCTTTTAGACTCACAACGACGCCGTGTTCCCAAAAGTATTTTTTTGTCAATTTATCAGGAGCTTACACTTGGGTCCTCGAAGTTATTATTTTATATGAAATGGTTGCTAATTGTAATTAATATTATCAAAAGGTCCCTATCATATTTTTTTTGGGCTGGGTTTTTTTCATTAATTATTTTTTAATCAAAAGAACTTTTTTCCCATCATCAGTAGTTACTTTTTTTATTTTTAGAAATATTCATGAACTAAAATTAAATATTCTTTTAATATAAATTGATTAAACACCTCATTCTAATTAGATTTTTTAAAAATAAATAATTAATTGCATATATTTTTTATCTATCAGAATAAAAAATATTCCTAAGAAATATTTAAATTCAATTATATATATATGTATATATTAAACATTTTTTTATAATGAGTGTTAATTAATTTTTATTTTACATTTATATTTTGAAATTATTTAAAATATTAAAACATTGATATGGTAAAATTACCCACAGCAACGCCCGGGTATTAAGCTAGTTCATCCTAAATGATTTTCTTTCTAATAAAGTATTAAGTGCTAATAATATTATTGAGAAAGTCTATCCTTATTCTCTAATTCCAAGCTTATTGGATCTTCTAATGGAAAAAGAAAAATACTCCATGCAAATATATTTGATGAAAAATCTCATGCATTGAATGAGTAATTGATTTATACATATGGTCGTTAAAAGTTTTTGAGAAATTTTTTTTATATAGGCTAATTTTTATTTTTAGAGTGTATTACATTCTCATTATTCTTTCGAATAATATTAACCATCAGTTCACCGATGTTATGTACAGACTCACCTGTGACGTCCATCCAGGGGAGCTAAAAGGAAACGAGAGGGACTATAGCAAATCTTTAGAGTTTAATATCAGTCCTTCTATTTATATACTTTCTTTAATTGTGTCCTTGAAAATAAATAAACTGGTCCCTCCAAAAGTTCTGAATTAAGGTTTTGAAAAGTAAATAAAAATTTTATTTTAGTTATTGATAAAGATTGCAATGGACCGAATCTAAAGCCTTATAGTTTGCGACTGCAATGAACTTGTCATTGAAAGGTTCTTTTTGCCAATCCATGCCATACCGGCCCACAAGTACCAATTCCAAGAAAGGTCAAAGAAACTAATTCATTGTTATTCTTCATTTATTTTTATAATCACACCAATTAACGTACGCCTACACCACCTTGGACACATCGCCTACCCCAGTCCTTTAGCCTTTAGGGCTTTAAATGATAGGCTGACCGCCCACTTCCACGGTTCCACCAACCAAATTCTGAGACTTCTTCATTTACTGAAACCTAAAACCAATTAAGGACTTCACTTAATATCGAATCAAACATTGACAGCATATATACCTCAATCTGTACATGTACTCTCGCATAATAAAATGTAATTACTTGTGAAAGCAATCTGAACCACATATTAACGCAAAAGGAATCTTTAATAAAATACTATAGCTCAACTTCCATTATCATTCAGGTATAAATTAAATCAGCATCAATACTATATATGGAATTATTGTGCAAAAAAAAAAAAGCTGAATAGACTGTAAATTTTTAAGTAAACCATAATGATTTTTTTTTTTTAGTGAATTTGTTTTGGTTGTTGGCAATTTATAATTGATTTTTTTTTCCTTGTCACGGTGCCACTTTTTTATGCATCAGAATCTAAATTTGGGTGTGATGCTACTCACCTAGTTAGAATCCAGATTTGGTGCGAAATATTCTCTTCTTTCAATAATTTATAATATTCCCCTTTTTTTCTTTATAAAAAGCCGAGTAGATTATAATGCTTATTATTATTTTGAATTTGTTTTTGGTTTTCGTCAATTTATAATCATTTTCCTTCCTTATCATAAACTCATAATGGCCTCTTTTTTTGTTCATCATAATCTAAATTTAGGTGTGATGCTACTCGCCTTGTATAAGTTTAAATCCAAATTTGGCGGGATACCCTTTTTTTTTTTTTTTCTTCAACTACCCATAACACTATCACTTGAAAAAAAAAATCGCTATTTTAACTCGAGAAAAAAAACAACCAGTTAAAATTGGATTGAAATCCTTTCAAATGGATGTTAAGAACGATTATTATGACATAATTAAATTATTTTTAAGCAAATATTTTATATTTTACAGAAAACAAGAAAAGTGTTGTCACCCTTTGTTTTAAGATTTTAAATTATTGTTTTGAATTATATTAGTTTAAAGCAACAAACGCTCATTTTACTCCACAAATTATTTTGTTAAATCTAAAATTAGTCATACAAAACAACCGGTAAAGCACACACGCTACAATTCACGGGCATTGTATTTGCCCAAAAAAAAAAAATAGTTGTAGGAAAAGCGGAAGCAAACGAAATTGCTCCACCTTTTTATCTTTTTATCATGAAATTGCTAGACCTAATAAACAAATGAAAGAGGTGAATAAAGCAAGCTAATGTCAAAATACTCTTTTCATATAATCATGTAACAGCAAATCCTTAACAAGTATCATCATGACCTCAAAAAGACAAAAAGATAGCATCAGCTTTCATTAACACCAAAGAAAATCGATGTCTACCCGTTTTTCCCGCTGAACGATCCCTCTGCTCTGCATAGTTGGATTAATTGGACCGCTATTAATTTATTCCACCAGTACTGAGAGAGAGAGAAAAGGAAAGAAGAGAAAAAAACGGAGAAAAAAGGTTATTTGTACTTAGTAGTATTTACTCGTCAGTTGAACTAAAATAATGATGATAGGGGCATAGGCCAACAATCAATAACGTTGGGATTGTACGTGCAACCATAAACAGCAAAGCATTTATGCAATGGTCACCACTTTTTCTCTTTTCTTTTGTATGACTTTATATTAATACGAACATCATTTATTGGTCATAACCATTGGTTGGTTGGACCTCCTTTATTGTTATTTCCTCTTCTTTTTTTGGATTCGTTTTATTACTAGCTAGCCAGTTGCTAACTGTTCTATAAACACCAACCCTTTTCACTAGTTTGCAAGATCTTTTGGATTCAGAAACTTGCATGTGTGCATGATTAAGCATGTGAAATATTCACCCACTTAACCTCTGGTATTGCAGCCAGAGCCAGGTATCTAGCTAAGCTCTTCTGATATATGACTACCTCTTATGTTTTCAGCTGTTAGTTTAGCTACGTTATTCTCAGGAAGAGTGTTATCTGGACTATAGTCTTACAGGTGATAACGTTACATTTCCGTTAATATATTCTACATTAGAATTCAGAAAGTAGAAGCTTAATTGTCTTAATATATACACAAAAGGCTTTGCATCTTGTAGTGATATATATATTTGAGGACTTGCTAACTGGTATGTGTGCTGATAGTAGAAACAAATTGATGCCTATTCTTGCTGGCTTAATTAATCTTACAGGGAATTAGCTAATTAAAGACATGGGTACTAGCGAAATAAAATCACCAGAAGTTCTACCAGAGACGCCAACAACATATGATGGAATTTCAAACTCAACTCATAGCAAGAAGCTTGGAATTTATTTCCTAGAGTCCGATAATAGGCGGATGGCCTTTGGCCGGGGCTATACCGGCGGAACTACTCCTGTTAACATCCATGGGAAGCCTATTGCTGACCTCTCAAAGACCGGTGGCTGGATTGCTGCCTTGTTCATTTTTGGTAAGCAACTTCTTCACATGGATATTAAATAAGTTGTGCGTCGTTTGATGTAGTAATAGAAAAAATAACTAAAGTTACACTACAATTAGGCTAAACAGATGAATTAAACTATCAGCAGAAAAACAAATATACTAAAAGGGGGTGTTTCTTTAGCCATAGAATATTTATATATGCTATATATTCTTTTGCCGAATTAATTTATAGCTTGTATGCGAGAAGTGCGAATGAGCATGTGTATGTTTGTGTTTGGTCAAATCAATTTTACGGTCTCTCACTGAGCTTGAATCTTTGTTTGTCCAGGGAATGAAATGGCAGAGAGGATGGCTTACTTTGGTCTCTCAGTTAACATGGTGGCCTTTATGTTCTATATTATGCATAGACCCTTTAACAGTTCATCCAATGCAGTGAACAATTTCTTAGGAATATCTCAAGCATCATCTGTCCTCGGCGGATTTCTTGCGGATGCGTATCTCGGTCGATATTGGACTATAACAATTTTCACAACAATCTATCTTGCGGTGAGATTAGTCATCAATTAATTACCTAAGTTAAATTGTTGGAGGTGCACTGATGATGCCTTTTCCTTTCAATCTTTGATTTCTGAAGGGTTTGACTGGCATAACCTTATGCGCAACAATGAAAATTTTCATGCCGAACCAGGATCAATGCGATCAGCTGTCCTTACTTTTGGGTAATTGTGAGCCAGCGAAATCGTGGCAGATGCTGTATCTTAACACAGTTCTTTATGTGACTGGATTTGGAGCTGCAGGTATAAGGCCGTGCGTTTCTTCTTTTGGAGCTGATCAGTTTGATGAAAGAAGTGAAAATTACAAGTCTCACCTGGATAGGTTTTTCAACTTCTTTTATCTTTCTGTAACTATTGGAGCAATAGTGGCCTTCACTTTGGTAGTCTACATTCAAATGAAACATGGATGGGGATCTGCCTTTGGTTCATTGGCCATAGCTATGGGTATATCAAACATGTTATTCTTTATCGGCAGTCCTTTATATAGGCATAGATTGCCAGGAGGCAGCCCCCTGACAAGAGTTGCACAAGTTCTGGTTGCTGCTTTTCGGAAGAGAAAAGCCTCCTTTTCCAGCAGTGAGTTAATAGGCCTTTATGAGGTTCCTGGCAAACATTCTGCTATAAAGGGTAGTGGAAAGATAGCTCATACAGATGATTTCAGGTATAATTGCTAATCCATTTGACATTTTTAACGCTATTTTTCAGATTAATATAGTTTTAGACGATCTAAAGTTTGGTTCTCAACCTCTGGCTGTTTGTTAAATGGTTTTGAAGGGTTTCTCTTACAAGTAAATCTGTTATGGTCCCTTTTCATTATAAAGAAAAGGAAATCTGTCTTGGTCCTGATGCAGTGATGATTTTTCACCATATAATTTCCAAAAACTTTGGGTTTTCACAGATGTTTGGACAAGGCAGCTCTGCAATTGAAGGAAGACGGTGTAGATCCAAGTCCTTGGAAGCTTTGTACGGTGACTCAAGTAGAGGAAGTCAAGATACTTATAAAACTTGTTCCAATACCAGCTTGCACAATAATGCTCAGTCTAATCTTAACAGAGTATCTGACTCTATCAGTACAGCAGGCATATACTTTGAATACGCATTTGGGTCATCTCAAACTTCCAGTAACATGCATGCCGGTGTTTCCTGGCCTCAGCATATTCCTTATATTGTCTCTATATTACTCAGTATTTGTTCCGATATCCCGTCGCATTACCGGTAATCCTCATGGTGCTTCTCAGCTTCAAAGAGTAGGAATCGGTCTGGCAGTTTCAATTTTATCTGTTGCTTGGGCTGGAATTTTTGAGAGGTATCGGAGAAACTATGCCATTGAACATGGGTACGAGGTTAGTTTCTTGACTCCCATGCCTAACCTTAGTGCGTACTGGTTATTGATCCAGTATTGCCTGATTGGAATAGCTGAAGTATTTTCCATCGTTGGATTAATTGAATTTCTCTACGAGGAAGCTCCTGATGCAATGAAGAGCATAGGATCTGCTTATGCAGCGCTAGCTGGTGGGATAGGCTGCTTTGCAGCAAGTATATTGAACAGCATCGTGAAATCAGTGACAGGGAACCCAGACAAGAGGCAGCAATCATGGTTATCCCAGAATATAAATACTGGGAGATTTGACTATTTCTACTGGCTGCTTACAGTTCTGAGCGTGATAAATTTCTGTGCTTTTCTATATTCAGCCCATAGGTACAAGTACAGGGAAGAGCAGAATTTTGGGATTCGTGAAGAAGTTGTAACCAGCAAACAAAACACCCCAACTAGGGGCTAAGTTGAATACAAATTTGAAATCTGAAATGGATAAGCACCATTTTCAAAATTAAATTTCTCTCTTACTGTGCAAGATTTCTACTTCTTAAAGTGTCCCTTCTAAAACATAAGGTAGAACTAGATAAAACATGAACCACAGCTGCATTTTCCTGCATTTCATCAAATGGCTGGCAACATTTGAATGCTGCGATCCACATTATCTCAACCTGATTTGAACGCCCTAAAAACCTGGTCAGGGTGCATTGAAGATCCTGATATTGCTGATGGCTGCGTAAATGATCAGGGTTTTCAAGAATACCAAATGTCAAACCATGATTCACTCAAACTATGGCTGGAATTTCTCTATGCTATTTACAATTTTAGTGTGCAATATTCTATAAATTAAATCATTTATTTCTACATATATTTAGTAAGTAGACACAGACTATGTCATGGTTGTGTCAGGAAACACAGCCACCGCCTCCTTATCGCAGGTTGCCCGTTCCACCTTAAGTCATCTCTATCAACACAATCACGTTAATCTCACATAAGATGTCAAAGAGTGGAAAATATTCCATGTGGTGTTCTCAAATGACAAATCTCTTTCTAGGCTATGATCTCCTAAGATTCATAGATGGAACTCATCCCTGCCCTCCTGATAATTATCCAGAACACAAAATCTAGATTCGTCAAGATTGTCTCATCCTGCTCGCCATTCAAAATGCAGGGACGGGAACTGTTGCTTCTCTTGTTTCATGCTGCAAAACCTCTCAGGAAGCCTGGAACAAACTCAAGACTACATATGCCAACAAATCCAACACTTGAATGGGTGGCCTTCTCGATTCTCTTGCTGAGGTTAGTCAAAATGGAAAGAACCATGCAATCTATAAAAACTATAGTAGATGATCTTGCCATGATTGGTCATGAAATGGTGATGGTTAGGTTATTGTAGAAACTCTCAATGGTCGTACTAATGACTACAAAGAAATCAAAGCTGCTCTGCAAGCACAAAAATCTCCTATTGGCTTCGAAGAACTGCTGGAAAAATTGCTTGATTATGAGACTAGTCTCTAGTTTGAAAAAACAGTAAAGGAGTCGACCGCTATCACTACTCAGTTCACCCAAAAGAACAAACGAGGGAAAAGTGGTTATCACAACAACTCGCAGAGAAGACAAGGATTCAGGAATCAGTCTAACCAAAATCAAGGCTACAAAAATCCATACCACCAATTGAACCAAGGAAACTCGTCCATGTCCACTGCTTACAGTCAAAACTTCTCACCAAACTAAACCTGGACACTAAACAATCATGGTGGCCAGTGTCGACCTGTATGTCAATTATGTGACAAGATTGGCCATGTTGCTAAATTTTGTCGATCACGTCCCTCTCCAAATGCTCCTTCTTGGCCTCAAGAAGTGAATTTCACCACAAGTGATAATTCTGGATATCAACATGGCCGGCTTGTTGACTCCAAACATCTCACCATATCACCTTAGATTTTTAAAATTTATCAATTCACTCAGACTATGGTGGCAATGATGACGTATAGTAGGAGACGGTAAAAGTATCTCTATTACTCGTATTGCACATACTATAATCAACTCTCATAATTCCATCTTTTAACCTAATAATATTTTATGTGCTCCTAAAATTATATATAAAAAAAAACTTACTACCTGTTTCCTAATTTTGCTCACAAAACACCACCTCCATTGAATTTTTTCCTGATTTTTTCTTGTGAAGGATCTAACTACGGGGCATCCTTGGTGCGAGACCGGAATAAAGGACAAGTGTATGAGTGGCCGAATTCACAATCTCCATCACCTGATTCTCGAACACTAGCTTTCACGGACACTCTCCCCACATCCTCATCTGCAACTATCTCTTCCTAGCAGAGTTGTTTTGGTCACCTGTCGTCTAAAATTCTCTTCAAAGTCATTGCTGCTGATAAACTATCTCTATGTAAGTCCACACTACTCCTTCTCGTTGCAATTCTTGTTTATCTAATAAAAGCCATAAACTTCCTTCTGGCTTTTTATCCTTAAATTGTTCTAAATTTTTAGAGATCCTTTTTATAGATGTTAGGGGTCCTGCCAATATCATTTCTTTCAATAATTTTTGTTATTATGTTATTTTTGTGGATTACTTCAAGTATACTTGGCTTTATCCTCTTAAACCCAAATCTAATGTAGTAATAGTTTTTGATTGTTTTAAATCTTTTGTTGAATGCTCCTTTACCACTACCATTCAAATAGTCTATACGAATAGAAGTGGTGAAACTGCTAGCCTTGGTCATTTTCTCTTTGGTAGATGTATTCAACATTTTATCTCCTCCTTATACACCAGAACATGTAGGCACAGCTGAGCGTAAACATCGACATATTGTCAAAACAACACTCACCCTTCTACACCATGCGTCAATGCCTCTCAAATACTGGTCCTTAGCACTCCAAACTGTTGTCTATCTCATGAATGCCATCACCTGCAACTCATAACCACTCCCATTTCCTTCTATTATTTTGAACCACACCAAATTATTCTTCTTTAAAGATATTTGGTTGTCTTTGTTATTTCTGGCTTCGTCCTCATATCTCCCACAAATTAGAACCTAGATCTCAAGCATGTGTCTTTGTTGGTTACTCTACATCTCATCATGCCTATCTCTGCCTTGATCCCCATACTAACAAAAAATTTACCTCTCTTGATGTCCGCTTTGTGGAACAAGAATTTCCATTTCATTCTTTCAACTCTTCTACTCAAGACACTATCTTCCCAACCTTCAAATACTGGTTTTCTAATTCTCCTGACACACTCATCAAACATCCAACATTAGACAATTCCAAATCTCCCATTGAATGCCTGTATTCACATGGGGCTAGCTAAATATTAAATGCCATCAAACTAATTTAACTGTGGAGCCCTTGTATTTAAATTAATCTGCATAGCCGTAGGATGGAACATGGCATGGCCTGAAGCTTCGATAAACCAGTCTTAGTTGTCCAGACTGCTCCTTAGACTTTCACCTAAACTAATTGAGTTAAAGAAACTCCAAAAATGGACCATTAATTGGGCACGTAAAAAAAAAATTTTAATTTGGGCCATAGAACACACGTAGGTGGTGACGAACTATGATTCTATTTTTCAGCACCTTTGCAAGCCTCCTAGGTAGTAATGGGCAATAAAGAGGAAACTTCAGTAGCTCACCAAATAAAAGAAAAGAATAGGAGGGAAAGAAGTCAAAATCTGCCTGCCAGTCGAGAATTCACTCTTTCTTAATTTGCTAGTACATGCTCCCTTAGATTTCGTGATGTCAGCAGTCACTCTTCTGGAAATATCAAGGATACAGTTAAAAATTTATTAAAAATTTACCCTTTCTAATATTCTATACTCCATATTATACAGAACGTTTATTTGAAAAAAAAAAAAAGAATATTAGCAATAACAACATATAATCAATAGAATAGTAAAACTATATGAAATCACATGAGAAAAAAAATAAAGATCAAGTTATTTGTATTTGCTTTAAAATTATAAATAAATTTGGATATCTAAAGATTAAATTATGTTCAAAATGATTGTGATGATTATAAAAGTATCAACCAAAATTTAATTAATGTTACCACTTTTCCCTTTAATTTGGTATTTATGTAACAAAAAGATAATTATTTAATTTATAAATCATATTACCACGTTTCTTGTTATAAAAATTAAATAGAAACATAAATATAAATTTATGATATTTATATTTATATTTATGTTTCTGTTCTTGTAGACTTACTGTAGCAGAACCTCAATATCTCACAAGTTGCCCCATGTAAATCAATGGTGGCTTCTTAACTCACTATGTCATCCAACGCATGCAGATGAACAACGATACAATTACATGGTAGCCAAACTAGAAATTCAAGCAGAGGGTTTCAATTCTTTCATGCTGGAACTGATTAAATTATTCTAGATGCCTCAAGAGTGTTGTTTTATCTATGGCTTCCACCAATGGTGTGCATTATAACCAAACATCATCCGAAGCACAAATTTATATCAGCAGTACTTGAGTTATGCCTTGTACGAGTCGGCATAATGTTTATGAATCAGTTTATACAAGCTATACACTGATCAGTAAAAACCTATACAAAAAGCAACGAGCATTTGACCATCAAGTACAGTAGGAAATTATACAAGATTGAGAAAATGTAAAATTGGTTTCCTCTATGCAAGAACATTCTTTTTTATCTTTCGAGAAACTCTATGCAAGACTCTTTTAAATAAAGCTCAGAGAGCTTTTATTTACACTCCAGCCAGCTCTTCCTCCATTGCTGAGGAATCGGATGAACACCAACTCAAGGGCTTTCACAAAACTCCATCTCCTAACATCCCAAATGGAAGTGCTTAATCAGTGACACGTGCTGTTATTAGAATGTCCATATAAATGGAGGACTGCTAACATTATTTAGCGAGCAATTTCTCACAAAAATGAAAGGAAGCAATATGTAGGTGCAAAAAGCATAGTAGTATCAATTTTTTATGGCAGTAAATCTATCAATATGTGATGAGAGTGAAAGTGTATGTGTCCAAAAGTTAACAGTTCAATGAATCATCTTTCGCTTATATGCCATCTCCACATTCACGGAATGATTAAAGGCTTGAAAATATATTTCTAGGCTGCCTTATAAAATGGCCATAGTTTTAGCAGCTATTAATACTAAATAGGTCCATACAGACACAATAAACCTGCATACCACCTTTCCGGATATCAGTGCCTTCCCAGGAAGGTTCAAGACTTAGAAATTGTTTTTTTTTTTTCCTTTATGTTTTAGGATGAATTCACTTTGTTATCTAAGAGGAAATTCAGCGTACCTTGCCACATATTGGACAACTTTCACTTCTTTCCAACCATTCATAAATACAACCAAGGTGAAAGTGGTGAGAGCATCGTGTGGTGATTTTAGGATTTTCAGGAGTGTACTCTGCAACATGATCATTCAAAAACAGCTTACTGAAGGGAATAAGAAGATCCTAATAACTTAAAAACCACAATCTGAATGCAGCACAGCATCAATACATTAAATTACCATCAAGACAAGTAGGGCAGACATCTTCATCTTCAGAAGGCGGTTGCGCATAAGTTAGTCCATATGCAACCTTTGTTGCCAAAGATTTCTCAGAGGACTCTGAATAGCCAAGTTTATCATCTTCAGAATCAACTCCATTTCTTTTTTTCCAAAGCCCAATGACTCCAAGCCAGAACTGCTCACATTTCTTCTCAGTGGTTGTGATTCTTCTTGGAAATGTGTCATTGACTTCCTAGAGACTAAACCATAACGTTGCAAACGAGCATACCTCTGATCAGTATCATAAGGGGCTGGCCTGGATGACGAGATTTGGGTGTCATTTGCAGAACCATCCAGTGATCCTGTGCCAACTCCAGTTGTTGCCAAAGAAGTGCCTCCTTGGGTTGGCGATACTGTCCGACCTTCAAGTCTGTGAAACATTGCACCATACTGCAAGTGCATTGCAGAAGGTAATAAGTGCATCAAATGTTGGAATGAAGTAAAATAACAGAAAATATGGGGAATGCGTCACACCAGCACCAAAGAACCTGCTTTGGAAAGGGAAATCTATTACCACAATAACTTAAGAAATTAGGATCTTTTCATGATCATGAATATGGTCCCAAGAATATAGGTGAATGTATAAACTAATTAATCAGTTTTCTCAAGCTAATTTTAAAGAACTACAACTAATATAGCAAAGATTGTAAGAGCCGATTTAAGTTAATTTATCCTTGCCCTGCCTTTCTCAAATCACAATGCATACATGGGAAATAACTTTCATTAGAATGCATAAATGTGAGCACAACTTTCATCACAATGCATACGTGGGAAATAATTTCATCAGAATGCATAAATGCAAGTTCAACTTTAATCACAAAGCATATGAAATATTGATAGAGCACACCAAGAATTGCACCCAAGGTACTAAGTAATCATCCATTACTCTGAGGCACCTAAAGAGTTTATTATCACTATTCTGCATATGCTTCAAATCCTCTTGGTGATATATTTATTTCATGCTTTCGTAAATTTGAGCTCTATGCAATTACGAGGTTATATGCATTACATTGAGGTACAAATTGGCAAACCTCAAAAGGACATAAGCCCCAGATTTAGCCCAAATGCCTTGGTTACATGATCTTAGACAAGCAAAGGAAGCAAACATTTCTCCACAACAACCTGCCTAGAGTATAAAAACATCCAAGAAATGAAAAAATCAGCATTCAAGTGTGTTGAGTTGCTTGTATTTCAATGCTTACCCCACTGAGCAACTGCTGGAAAAAGAATCTTAGGCAAATGCAGTGCCTGTATATTGAACTGCCTGAGTAAGTATGTTCTTCATGTTCATCACTGCATGGACAGCAGCAGAAAGCACCCATCTTTGTGCTTCAAAAAATAAAACCCAGAGAATTAGCTGTTGACAACTAAGAAGCGACAAGCTAGGAATCAAGGATCCAATATCTTCGGTAAACCTGTACGAAACTAACACATTTGAAGCACTACATAGGAACCAGTATCAGTGTGACTGGAATGACGAGAAGGATGAGTGGTAAATGACATAAATCATCAGCCAAAGAGAAAGAATCTAAAGTTCTTAGTGCACCAACCCTCTTGGGCATCAGGTCCTTCTTAGAAGACCTATGGAGTTTTCAAAGCTGAACATGTAAAATGCTATATTTACAAGAAAAAGAATAAATACATTAAAATGCCACAAAGAATCTACATACTAGAGCGGCCAATAGCATCAGTTATCAGTGCAGTCAATTCGGAAAAATCCCAAGAGCTCTTCACATAGTTCTGCATTTTGGAAATGGCAAACAACTGCAGATGCAGATTCCAGAAAGTCATGATAGGCATGAAATTCCTTTGAAACCAAAAGCAGTTTCATGGTAATCTAAACTACAAAATGATTGTTTTCTTTGTCTTTCATTGATAAGGACAATAATTCCTTCACCAGAGAATAATAAATCAATATATTAGCTACGAGAGAATTTTGCTTTTGAAAGGAATTAGCAATGTACTAACAGTAGAATACAAATTAAAAAGGAAAAACTTGAACTCACTGTAAACCAACAAAGTGCACATTCTTTTTTCATTTTAAAAGTGAAGCAAAGACACAAAATTGAAATTGGAAAAAAAAAAAAAAAAAAAGCAAATTAAGCAAACGGTAGTCACAGATGGAGCAGAATTAAATGCAAAGAAACAACAGTCAAGTCTAACCTTAACAAACAACAGAAAGACACCAATTACTTTAAAATCAATCACCTTAAAAATTATTAAAAAGAAGAATAATTTAAGAATCTGACAGTGAGTAGGTGAATTCTGATGATCGCAGGTTGTGTTGTAAGAACTGAAAGTGTCCTAGGGTTTGGTTTAGACGTAAATGAAAAGGAAGTAAAGGAAAGGAAAGGAGAGAGTGGAAGTTTCCTTCTACTTACCTTCAGCACAAGTGAAGAGAAAGATCTGCAGCAATCTCCTAAGGAAAAGAAAATCTATAAAGCACGCCAAAGTGCCAACGACTTTTGCAGTCCAAAAAGCGAAAAAGCAGAGGACAATAGGTTTTTGTTTCTTTCTTCTGATGATTTTGAGTTTTTTTTTTTTTTTTTTGGGAACCTTATAGCAGAATCAAGAAACCACAGCACAGTGTAGACAACGCTGCATTTACAATTCCTGGATAGGTTATACCATTAAACCCAATTAACTAATGCCGTTCCAATAGCTATTGGATTTGGTAAGAGTGTGGACCAGCTCATTACATGTTTCTTTAATCACCGATTTCTTTCTTCTTTTTTTTTTTTTTACCGGTTATTATAATGTAACAGGAGTACTATATATTTTTCTCTCTCTCTCAAGAAAAGATCTTCTCTTGAACACTAATTCGGACTGATGGTTAATTTTAGCTGGTGGTATGAGATTTTTTTCATTTTTTTTATATCTAAAAATTTGGAAGATTTGGTCATTTAAATAAATGTTTTGAGATTCTATTTTCTTATTTTAAAAAATTAACATTAATTAGCAGCACCTAAAATCTCCTATAAATAGGATCTAATCGCGCAACATCTTCTCATATTGATTTATGATAGCAAAAAAATTCGTTTATGTGCAAGCTTTGAAAAAAAAAAAAATCTTTTTTCATGAAAACTTGATGTGGAAAGTTCAAAGAAAGTTATACACTAAATGTTCTCGAAAGCAATTTATTTTGTATCGATTGATATTAATAAAATTGTTGTTTTTTTATTAAAAAAAACACTATATTTTTAATCAACTTTGCGTTTTAGTTTTAACGAGAAGAATATATTATCCTTTGTCAATTTTTAATTCCTTATTTTAATACTCCAGCCATACTCTAAAAAGATTCAGCATTATATTTTTAGAATAAAAAAATGAATTTTATTGTTAATAAGGGAGGCTTTTAATCTTTTACCACACTTTAATTTTATCCCTGATAAAAATCAGTTCAATGTAAAAACGATGGGAGGATTTACCAATAAAAGTTAAAAGCAAACATTACTAAGAGTATATTAAAGGTTATTTCAGTAAATTTAACTTCTAGACTATGATTTAGATGGAGCCATAATTACAATATTCACTTTTCTAAGTTACTGGACAATAATTAACCCCCTTTAGGTGCTTCTAAACGCTAGCTTTACCCCCTAAATAATACAAAAAGAATTAAATAATTATTTATTTCAAAAAATAATTAATTAATGTCTTAATCAACGGTGATAATAATTAATTTAATATTATTTTGTTTTAAAAAAATCTCTTCTTTCCGTCAAATTTTTCATATTTTTTCATTTTTCTATCTATTAAACAAAGCAAAAAAATATTAAAAAAATAAATTCATAAATAGATTAAAAATATAAAACTAATTAATTAATTATTAAAACTAAAAATACTATGTAAAAAAAAAACTAGAGGACTTCCTTCATAATTTACTCTAAATAAAACTTTCACTTAGTTATAGCGTGGAATTCGGTGCATTTCTGAGATCTGATGTGAAAAGAACTGCTCAACTTAATAATAGTTGAAGTTGAGGAGCCCTCCATAGCCAAGTCTGTGACACAGCCGTGTAGCGTTTGTTGGACCAAAAAGGATGCCAGTTCACGAATGTCATCAAGTAATAATGACCATCATTGTGCTTGTTGCTCTGAAGATAAGGACAGTTAAAGTCAAAACAAAGTCGTAGAAGATAGCTGGATTGATTGTTTTTCTTTTCTAGACCCGTTTTAAGAGTTGTCGATTTGGACTACGGTTCATGAGAAAACAATTTTGCCTGCCTCTACTGGAAAATAAGCAGAGCCATCCTTATCAAGCAGAAAAAGAGTGCGCATTTGGTTTTTCATTTTCAATTTTTAACATTTCAGTTTGATTTTTGATTAACTAAACTCATAAAAAACAAAAACAAAAAAAACAAATTTGTGTTTGGTTTTCAACTTATGATACCGAAATATAAGTGTTCGGTTTTGGTTTTTTCCCCAAAAAACCATTTTTTTTATTTATTTTGCAATTAAATAGCCCTAAAAAATTATGTGTGGTTTTTCTAACTTAAACGGTATCAATTAACCTATATTAAACATAATAAATATTTATTTAAATAAAACTAAAATATAATTCCATATCACGTAATAAAACATCAAAATTTAAATACAATTTTACTAATACACATCTAAAATGTATAACAATCAAATACCATTGATTATTCTAATATATTGTAAATCTAACTATCAAAATCTAAATCAAAATCAAAAGTTTAAACATTTTCTAAACTTAATTCCAAATAGCATATTATATGTCATGATTCATAATAGAAATACAATTCATTTAGCAAATAAAAATAGCATAGTTGATAATACTAAATAAAAAAGACATGATATTAAGATCTTCCAACCACAATAGACATACAAGCCAATGATCCATTAACTTTCAAGTCTTGGCATTTCTTATTAAAAAAAAAAAAAACCAAGCATTAAGCCAAATAATATATTAAAATATTTAAGTTTGAAAATTCATATGTCAAGCAAATAAAAATTGAAAAGACCTATGCCATCCAAAACACCATGATATATCTATAATAGTTGCTCCCACTAATTTTTTTTGCTAAATCTAAAAAATATAAGATAAAAAAATCAACACTTTAATTTTATTATATAGGAAAGAAATAACAAATGAAATGTAGAGTTATAAAAATTACTGATTTTAATTTTGTCAACATTTTATAAATCTTCTTTAATAGTAATTAATATGAATGACCTTTGAAGTCAATTTTTATCATATATAAGAAATTGCACTATGTTGGGAGTTAAAGAACTACTAAAGGCATTAAAAAACATTCTTCCAATGCTAAATATAGATTTTGAAACAATATTAAATATTGGAACCACCAAGCATATCACGACCTATTTGTGAAAAGATGAAAAATAAAGAATAATTGTTTTTCCACAAATATATTATCAAAACCATCATCATTATTTTCAGCATCATTAAACCTATCAAACTCTAATTTATTTTCTCCCTTGCTTAACCATTACTTCATTATAACTTGAGACTTCGTTTTTTCACTACTTGGCCACTTTGATATGTTAATAACTCATAATATGAATCACACATTGCATATGTAGATTTTCTCATAAGATTTGTCATCAACTCACCATACATGAATGAAATACAACATATACAAGTTTCGGCTAGGATTAAGAACTACTGCAATATAAATCAATTTTTTCATTTTCTTAATGTTCCTCTAATACTTATTAAACTTTCCTCTCATTTAGTAGCCATTGAAAAAGTTTCTAAGTTGTACTTTCTTGCTATTTTTTCTAAAGACAAATAACCAAACTAATCTCATCAAAGTAAGTATTAGAAATGACATATAAAGAATTTAAATCAAGCAAATTAGTAAGATCATAATTTTTTTCCAACATTATTGCCATCTTCCTACATATCCTTCAATCATCAACATTGAGCAATCTAAATACTCTATCACTATCGATGGGAGCCCGCAGGAGAAACATGCAGGAAATAAGACTCATCACTTAACTAATTGGGAAAAAGTAGAAAATTCTAAACGTACTAGTCTTATAAAGATATTTGAATAAGGGTCGCTTACGTATGAAGAAAATATAACATCACTATCATCCCGTCCTACTTGAGGTAAGTCTGCATTGTTTACATGTGAAAATAAAAATCTGATTTTACTATGTTATGTTTCCATGTCTATTTGAGTACATTTATTTTATTGGGATGAAATAGTAGAGTAATTCAAGGTCCAAGCTAGTTCGAGGTCGATAACTATACTCGAAGGGTAAAGGTGAGAAAATTTGGAATTTTAGCTAATCTTTAATGAACACGAGCTATACCAACAAGTAGGTGAGTTTCTAAAGATTGATAGCCTTTTTATAAACACGAGCGACAAGTCATCGATAACCTTACTCACATAAGCAAGAAGCTATCAATGACCTCTAGTCATGGATTTAAGAAATTACCGACAACTTTATCACATAAGTGGAAAGCCATCGTAACTTTATTTTACTCGAGCAAGGATTAGATAACTAGTTTGGAAGCCACTAATGACTTTATCACATAAGTGAGAAGCTATTAATGGCTCCATTTTAGATAAGCGAGATAGTAAGCAAAATAATTTTGAAACCACAAGCGACTTCGTTGGCTTTCCACTTGTGTGATGAAGCTGTCGATAGCTTTGTTTTAATAATTAAAAATTAAATAAAACTAGTTCAAGAGCCACTCGATGACTCCATCCACACAAATGATAAGCCATCAATAGCTTTATTTTTGCAAACGAG